GGCCCGTGCCTACAGTGGATGTTTGGGATCCCAAGCCTTCCTTAGGCTTTTAAGCACAAAAATAAAGAAAGAAAGGAAGGAAAGAAGGAAAGAAATCAAATCATATCCTGGATTGATATATTTCAGTTAGCAAGAATAGTTACCCAGAGACGGGCAGCGGTGGTGCATGCTTTAGTACCAACACTCGGGAGGTGGAGGCAGGAGGATTTCTGTGAGTTCGAGGTTAGCCTGGTCTACAGAGTGAGTTCTAAGACAGCCAAGAGCGATTATACAGAGAAACCCTGTCCTGAAAAACAAACAAAAAACAACAAAGAAACAGAAAAGAATAGCTAGACAGATGTATAACTACAGAAGCCAAAAAGCAGGTTAGTACATTTAGAGACTTTCCCAGAGCTAAGGACTTTGATGGACTGGGTCTTTGCTTTTGTTGTGACAGGTGATGATGCTGTCTACATGCTGAAGTTTATGGCCCGAATGGTACTTTCATCATGGCGTCAGTTGTGCTAAGGGGTGGGGACCTGCCACAAGGCTTTATTGACCTCTGATTTAAAAGTTCCTTTCTGTGTTGTTCTGCCCTGTCAGATCTCTGACTGAGAGAGGAGGTGCCATAACTTCCATTCCTGGTAACAGTTCCTTGGGCCATGTTATGGCAAATCTGTCTGTCTTTGTGTTGCTATGAACAAAACAGGGTAGCCCCCTTACTCTTTCCTCCCTTCTTCAGGGAGGCAATGCCTTTTGTAACATTTACACATTTGTCTCTATATTTTTTTCTCCTATCTGCTTTCTTGCTCTGAACAAGATGGTTTGCTGTCCAAGGTCATTGGAAATTCTGCTCTCTTGGCCAGTTCTTACTGCTGTGTAACACTAAACTCCCAGGAATTTGTGAGACCAAGAGTGGAATGTATGAAATATTCCTTTTAAAACTCTTAAGCAACAATAAAGTGTGCCTAAGATCTACCACAGACAGGAAGCTTATTTAGCAATATATGGACCCATGATCTTAATTTGTTATGTTACAAATGTGATTTGTATTCAACTGACTCATAATCAATTGCTGGGTTTATTATGCTGCTATTATATATTTATATATGATATATACTATATATATATATATATGTATATATAATTTTATCTATGGTTGGTCAAAATGGAAAAGTAAAGGTGAGAACAAAATTAGGATCTAAGTATGCTACAATGTCACATAGGGTCCAAGCAAAACCTCATTTAGTTTGGTTTATAGATATACCGATTTTAGATCATGGTCTCCTGGCCCTGCTGCTTTGGGCCTGTGTTGGGAACTCTTGTGTGAAGGATGTTGGGTAATAGCCTCAGGTCATGATGAATTGAGTCCGGCTCTTTTAGGTGATAGCACCTAGCCATAAAGAATTGCTCTAACCTGACCATTCTGCTCCATCTGTAGAAACAGTATGCCTAGGTATCAAAAATGACCTACGGACCAGGTGGTGGTGGCACACACCTTTTATCCCAGCACTCAGGAGGCAGAGGCAGGAGGATCTGTGACATTGACATACATCTGTTGTTATATATCAGAGCCCATGCTAACCCCCCCCCAAAGCTCCTCTGGTCCCTAGTAACATGCGCCCCTTATGAATATCAACACCCTCATTCTAGCCTTCTGGCTGTTCTCATTCCCCCCCCCATGCTAGTTCCCAGGCTGTTCCAGCTTCCAGCTCAGCCCCCTCTGCAGCTACTTCCCTCTTTATAATGGCAAGGTCCCACCTACCCACCCCAGAGAGATAGCCCTGACTGTGGCCAGTCCACTCCCCTCTCTGCCCTCCTTTCCCAGCGGTAGCCATGGGTACTCTGGACTCCCCCAGATGCCTCTGGCTGCTCTCTCTCACCTCTACAATAAAAACCTTCTACCCATGGAAGCATCATTCCAGTGGTTTTACTTTGACTTCACTTACATGCTCAACCTTCATCCCTCAAGGTTGGGACCCCTCGCTGCTCCAATAAAGCAATCTCACCCTGTTGAGATTGAGCCTGAATGCTGCTCTGCCTCACTCTTCTTTAGTTTGTTTTTTCGAGACAGGGTTTCTCTGTAGCTTTGGAGCCTGTCCTGGAACTAGCTCTTGTAGACCAGGCTGGCCTCGAACTCACAGAGATCCAACTGCCTCTGCCTGCTGAGTGCTGGGATTAAAGGTTGTAGTCACCCAGCTTCTGCCTCACTCTTCTTAAAGAGGAGGCCCCTCATGGCCCCACACAGTCTCCACCACTGTGAGCCCTTGCCCTGTGTTCTCTCCAGACTCCTTGCTATTCTCTGCCCTCCCCCTCCCCGCCAGCACCAGTCCTCCCCACTGGCCTTTGGCTGCTTCACCCTGCTGCCACAGTTCTCATTACTCTCCAGGCTCAGATGAGAAGTCACCACCTTATTTAACCACACATGTGTATTTAGTCAACATAAGACTACCTGGGGTGGGAGCTCATAAAGGCTCTTGCCTTGCAAACGTGGCTTCAGTCCCTGAAGAAGGCCTGTGCTGGGAGTGCCGCGGAGGGCGCACACAGGAAACGAGCTGCTCATGCACCGCAGAGCCCAGTGCACAAGGATTCCAGCCACCCCTCATCCAGACAGACAGCAGTCTGCAGGCAGGAGGACCCAGGGCTGGTCTCAGCAGCAACCCTGCTGCTGTTTGCCTTCTATACCCAGATAAAGACAATAATTACACTCTGTAGGATGGCCAACATTTCCACACACTTAAAAAGAAGCACAGCTGGACAGGGGTGGCATACATCTTTTAATCCCAGCACTTGAGAAGCTGAGGCAGGCAGATGTCTGAGTCTACAGAGGCCAGCCTGGTCTACAGAGCAAGGACAGCCAGGGCTACATAGAGAAACCCTGTCTGGGAAAAAAGATCCTCTTATTAGACAGGATTGTATGTTTCATTGAATTAATGTTTGCTTTTGAGATTTGAGAAAAGTTATGTTCTGGACTTTTGTTTTCCCGTTTCCTTCTTTTGCATATGTGTTATGTGTATGGTGTGCACATGGTCACATGTGTATGGGTGCATGTGCACTTTGACCCAGTGCTTGCTGGTTTGGCCAGCCAGCTTGCTTCAGGGACCCCCATGTATCCACCTCCTAAGTACCGGGATTTCAGGCAGGCCCTTCACTAAAGGTGGGCACTTATGCAGGTGCGGTGATCTGAACTCTGGTCTCTATTCTTCTCAGGCAAACACTTTACCCACCGAGTCATTTCTCAGACCCTTTTTTCTTTTTTTCAAGACAGGCCTTGCTGTGTTGCCCGTTGTCAGACTGCCGTCCGGAGATTTGTGTTTATCTCCAGAGCTTTGTGTTGTTCTCAGCCATAGTCAAGAGCTGCTTTCTGTAGTGGGTTGCAGTTAATGCAGAGCCTAAGAGCTGTCCAAATGTGGAGGGTGGGTGACTGTTGAGTCCACAGATGGGGCACCCCACCCCCAAGGTTCAGGGAACCCCCGAGGAGGTGGGGGTGGAAAGAACGTAAGAGCCGGAGGTTGGGGCGGATGCTGTGAATTGTGCCTTCTGGGCATGGCATGACTGTCACCCACACAGGCTCACAGCAGCTGTGCTTGCCCTCACAAGATCAAACCAGTTGATACTCCGGTATGGATAGGGAGGGGAACTAGTTGAGGAGCTACTGGCAGTTGATGGCTGCTGGGGAGGAGAGAGTCATTCTTCTTTAGGTATGGTCACTTGTGGGTTGCCCATGTCCCAGTAGATGGTCCCATACCCATGCACATATAGGTAGCACCAACTGGACTCAATAGGATACATACATGCACACATACATGCATACATAATATGGACATGCTAGGTGGGGGAGAGGGGGACTTGAAGCTGGGGAGGGGTATGTATATGATCAAGATACATGATACACAGGTATAAAATTTTCAAAGCATAAACTTGGCAGTGGTGGCGCACACCTTTAATCCCAGTACTCAGGAGGCAGAGGCAGGCGGATCTCTGTGTAGTGATATTTTGTACGTGCTTTAACAAATAAAGCTTACCTGAATATCAGAGAAGCTGAGCAGCCAGCCACTAATTCTTGCCTCTACTGAATCCTCAGACCAAAGAGGCAGTCCTGTCCCTTCGAATCCTCAGACAGAATGTCCTATGCCCCTCTCTCCTCATGCTTTATATTCCTCTCTCTGCCCAGCCATATTCCTTCCTATCTCTACCTCCTTAGTGCTAGGATTAAAGCCCTGTGACTCCCAAGTACTGGGATTAAAGGTGTGAGCCACCGCCTGGCTCTATTTCTCTTTGTGTAGCCCAGGGTTGCCTTGAACTCTCGGAGTTCCGTCTGCCTCTGCCTTCCTAGTGCTGGGATTAAAGTTGTGCGCCACCATAGTGTCCTGTATGACTAACTACTGCCTAGCTCCCACACTCTGATCTTCAGGCAAGCTTTATTTGTTAAAGCACAAAATATCACCACATCTCTGTCAGTCTGAGGCTAGCCTGGTCTACAGAGGGAGTTCCAAGAGAGCCAGGGCTACACAGAGAAACCCTGTCTCGAAAAAAACAAAATAGAACAAATTCAAAGCATTAAAAAGAAACCTTTGAGGTTGGAGTGACAGCTCGGTGGCTATGAGTATGTTCTGCTCTTGCAGAGGACCTGAGTTCAGTTCCCAGCAACCACATCACCTGTTACTCTAGGATCTCAGTCTCTTCTGGCATCTGTGGACACTGTAGTTATGTGTGTACATGGATACTGTAGTCATACACACATCACACACACACATCACACACACACATCACACACACAATTCAAACTAAAAATCTTTACAAAAACAATTAAATTCTTTCCCATCACAAGACTAGACATAGATTCTTCTGGAACTTGTTTCTGGAATGGAGTCTGAAGGCAGGAGCTTGAAAATTTCATGGCCCTCATTTCTTGCTTGCTTTTTTTTCTTTTTTCTTTTTCTTTTTTTTTTTTTTTGTGGGTTGCAGTGGCCTTTCCCATACTCTCAGTCATAACTCTAAAGAAAATGAGAAACGGACAATACTTAGGCTCATTTCCTGTTTATTATTAAAGTGATTCCCACAAGTGTTTAATTACATGCATGGGGGAAACATGATAGAGAAAGGCTTTGACTATCTGAGGCAGCTGAAGGCAAACGCGGTTACATGGATATTGGTCAGTGCGCCTCAGGGCTGCTACGCAGAGCCTGGACAGACTGCATATGTTTGGTAGGCCAGGACAAAGGCTGGGGTGCAGGAGGGTATCCGTCTCTAGAGCAGTGTGGATAGCTTCTGGGTGCACTTGGCTCTGAATTTTCTGACAGATCTGTTTGAAAGCCCGGCTGCTTCCCCTGTAAGTGCTGACATGCATCGGGCCTCTCTCCTGTGCAGGGCCGAGGGTCAGTGCAGGCATTGTGGGTGGTGATGACAGGTCAGGTCTGGATGGTGAGGACCCTGCCTGCTACCCAAGAGAAGCCAAGTTCATCCTTTCTCCGAGTGTGTGTAAAGAAGGACGGGCGTCACCAGAGCCAACACTGGCTCTTCTAGCTTCTCACTGCTCACTTAGGGCACTTTGGTCTCTCTGAGTCAAATGCCCAGCCATGAACCACGGGTTCTGCCCCACCCTTGTCACAGGGCTGGGGCCCCTGGGCAGAGAGAGTTCAGCTTAGTGTCTGGCTGAAGAACTGTGAATTTCCCCGGCCTCTGTTGCTCCCTGTTGAGTCATAAGAGTTCAGGCTTTCAGGGCTTCCATCTGGGCCTTTGTGTTGATATGGCTGGGTGCAGGCTGGGGAGGGTGCAGCCAGCAAAACACCCACTGTCTAAATAGGGTGCTGGGGGAGAGCACAAGCTATACCACATCACCTGGACCCTGAAGAGTCCCCCAAACGGGTACCTTGACAAAAGTTGTGACAGGTCAAGCAGGTCGAAGCCCACCCGGTGCTGTCGTGCCCTGGAGAGGCGCTATCTGCGCTGCTTCTGTGTTTGACAGCTGTTTTCGCTCGCAAGTCATTCAGCCTCAGTTCAAATGGCATCAGCTGGGCACTGCGGGCTTGAACAGCAGGGCTTGGCTACTGCTGTGCACCTTTGGTGAAGCAAGCTGTACAATGCTAGCCAGGTCAGTTACACTCTCCAGACTAGTCCCAGGGCAAGAAGAAAGCACTGGCCCTCCTGTCCGTCCTCCAGGCCATGTGGCAGACGAGCAGGCATGGGGCAAGGCTGCTGTCCTGGGTAGGTTGTGTCATACTGTTCCCCAGTCAATCTTTCTAGAAGTCTGGCACACAGTAAGTACCCAGTAGATGTCTGCCGAAAGACCCAGCTCATTTTAGGCCCTTATTTTTGTGCTGAGGGGTAGGAGGAGAGGAGGCTCTGGGAGATATTTAGCTCCATGTATCAGTTTAGGGTTCACACCACGCCTGGCTGGCCGGGGCCTCTTTTTGTAGATGGCAGAGGCGGGTGAGCGGGCTCCCTAGTAAAGCTCTTGAATCAGGATTTGGGGCTTGCATTTTGGTTCTATTTCATCTGTGTGTTCCAAACTAAAAGATGTCAGGAGGGGAAAGGCGGTCCAGGTCTCTATCTTGGGCTGGGCTCCTGGGTATCTGTGACCACTAAGTGAGGAAGGACCTTGGGAAGACTGCCCTGGAGGAGCCAGAGTTTGGGAAAGCAGTCACCACCATTAGCCACCGTGATATGTGGTGTGCTGCCTGAGAATTGGGGAGGGAGCCAGGGTGAGAAGGATGGTGTAGCCACAGCCTAGACGCCCTGGAACCAGTACAAGTGACTCAGACAATCAAAAGGCCCATTCTGAGTGGCAAAGAATGTGCCCTGCTGTTGCCACCCACGAGTGGAGGGCTTGGCTGGCCACTGACCCTCAGGACAGGTTGTTCTCCTTCCTCAGGTGGGTACTGCCAAGCTAAGTGCCGGGAGGTGCAAGGAACACAAGTCAGGAAGGCTTTTGGGGTGTCCTGCTGGGATGCCTCCAGTTCCAGATCTCACATGGTGGCTGAGATCTGGAACCCAGGGGACAACTTGGTTTTCCTCTCACCTCCATAGAGGTCTTTAGGTTGCCTCGGGTGCATAGCTCTACCAGGGGTGGGGCCAAGCACAAATTAAACTGGAGAGACACACAGGCCCTCTCTGTCTTTGGCAGGTGCCAGGGCTTTTGGGGGCTATTTTTTGGGGGATGCGAGCTACAAAATTAAGGGCTTGACATGAGAGTGAGGGACCTGGCTTGTACTGTACCTGCTCCTACTCAGGGGACACTGGACATGATGTGGCCACAGTGGGGGGGGGCATTCTGGAGAGAGGAGATAGCCAGATGTGTTGATGGGCACAGAGGTGACAATTGCTAAAAGTCTCTTAGGAATTGTAGGCAGGACTTAGGAGAACCTGAGATTGCTAATGTTTTCTGGGTTTTGAGAAGATTTAAGACTAAACCCAAAGCCCTTAAGTGGGTTGGCTAAGGGGATATGTCACCTTAGTTGGGCAGGGTTGAACCCCCAAATGCTTCTTATGGTGTGGCAGGGCAGTAATGGTGGATCCTGGGAAAGATTACTGGCATATGAATCAGGAGTTAGAGAAAAGCCCCTTCCTCACTAAGCTGGTGGCTTCCTTCGGTAGACCAGTGTGGGTGGGGAGCAAAATTGGAGGGAGGGCAGATTTATTGGACCTGGGACAGCCAGCCAACCTAGCGCTCCTGGCTTGGGGCTTCAGACTGGCCACCCCAGTTCCCGGCATCTCTGGTTTGAATACTGCCAGTATTCCCGGTTCTCCAGTTTGTAGATGACAGACAACCGTGGAGAACTTCTTGAGAATCATCATTTTTTTTGAGCTGTTTCCCACAATTCCCTCCTAGTGTGTCTCCTTCATGTGTGTCCCCGTTTGCTTCATGTTCCTGGAGAGGGTAAGTGTTGCCTCGTTTGTCCTGGGGGATGCTGGTTTCTCTGGGGATGATCAGCGGCCCAACAGGAAGACAGGAAGCTTCTCCCCGGTGCAGCTGGGCTGCGGGGACTGTGGACTGGAGAAAGGCAGGAGGCCCCAGCCCTGACCTTCCACCAAGTGCAGTGATGGCCGCTGCTGATCTCCTCTGCATGTGGTGGCAGTACCTTGTCCCCGAGTTCCAAGGAAGCTCAGATGTGTTTGCTGTGTCCTGTCATCAAGCCGTGGTTCTCCGGGCCTGGCTCACCTGCCCCACACACCACCTGCGCACACACCTTCAGTCTTCAGCGAGCCACGTGTGTTTTCGCTTACGTCACCAGGGTGGGATGGGGACCAGGAAACCTTGGAGTTCATTTTGAGATTCTCCCATGTTCCTCCAAGCTATAACATCTGTTAACTGGTAAAAACACAGACCAGTTTCTATGCGATTCTGACAGCCGGCAGCAAACAGTCTGAGGCACAGGTAAGATCTCCGTGATGAGGTGACTCCCCAGCCAGTGGGATGTCATTCAGCTTGGCCACACAGGAGCTCCCCTCTTTCAGAGACCGAGAAGCATCGGTAGGCTCCCAGTAGCCTCTGCCTCAGGGGCCTCCTCTCTCTGGGCCTGGCTTTCTCCACCTGTTGCATTAGGGCGTGGGGACTGCTCTCTGAACGCAGCCTGCAAATCCCTGAGGAAGGCCTTGTATCTGATGACCTGCAGGCACTGGGCAGGCAGTGAGAGCCAGTGAGGGGGAGGGCGGCAGCTGCTTTTTGCTCTTCTGAGGGAGTGATGTTGCTTGTGAAGCCTCCCCACCCAACCCCAAGTCAATGCTTCACCACAACACCTAATCCAACCCCCAAGAAGTCACATTCAACAGCATGTTCGAGCACGTCTGTGTTCTCCCCAGGCCAGAGGGAGGGGGCCGCTTGGTCTCCCCCACACAGAGGTGGCTAGTGCTGGGGGGGGTGCTTAATCACTGGGGGAGGCCAGTGATTAAATAGCAACAGTGGTTACTATTACAGCTGCTGGAGAACACTTCTAAAGTACCCGCCCACACAGAGACATATATATATTTAATATTTATATATATATAAATAGAACTTCATTAGATGTTCTATTAAGGCGAAGCATAAGCCCATGGATTCCTCTCCGGGAGGACCTTTCCATCTCTCACAGAGTCCCCTGAGCCCCATGACCTGGCTTGGTGTCCTGTGTCTACGGCTGGAGGAGTCGGCAGGGTGTAGTGACTTGGCAGGCGCTGGCACCTGCTTATCAACCACCTCCCAGATGGGACCTCCACTCCTCCTGGCCCGGCCCGGCCCTGTGTGGGTGACAAATGGCCCAGGCTTTCCAGAGCCTGCAGGGAGTTGGCCACCTTCCTCTTTCTCATCAGGCTAAGGGCACAGTAGTCCTGTTCCCCACATGGTGGGGACAGCGTGTCCTGGCCCAGGTAGGCCCACTGGGGTGGTTCAGGAGAGAATGCTCTAGGTGTCCTGGGAAATAGAGGCAAAGGGTGGGTGAAGGCTTCGTGAAGCTGTGTTTCCATGTAGGAGTGGCAGACCCACCCGAGGGGTCTGGGCTGGGTTTAGGCCTCCCACGGACTGGTACAGGCTGGATGGCTTTGCCAGAGGCAGGTGTCATGGGTTTCCCAAGGCAACCTGGAGGCCCTCGGAGCCTCCTTCCAGCTCCTGCTGTAGAGGGAAGGCGCACTCCCCTCCTCCTTGGTTCCCACTATCCCCAAGCAGGACAGCTGGCTGGCTATTTGTAGGGCCGCAGGAACCGAGACACTTTGGAACGTAGCAGTTTGATGAAGGACCGAGGGAACATCTCCTTGGATTCCTGGGCTGTGTATTTGAAGTAGTTTTGTGGGTGTGCCAATACGTCGAAGAGGGCCTTGATCAGCTTCTTGTCCTGCAAGACGTGGGGGACGCTGTGAGACAGAGGGCAGGCAGGGGCATCTGGTTTCTGCCTAAATGGCAGCTCCAGGAGGAACGAGGAGCTTGAGAGCAGGGGGTCAACCTTGTGCCTATCAAACTGTCACTGCACCCCAGCGCCACCTGGTGGAATAGAGGGCATAGTGACAGCTGAGTGGGGGTGGGCGGGGCTCTGTGGCCCCATTCCTGGTCTCAGGTCCTAGGCTGAGGGAACTACCATGAAGAGGTTGAGCCAGGGCCCGCCAAGCCCATCTAGGACTGGTTCCATTCACTGGGCTAGTGCCTCTGTGTGTGTGTGTGGGGGGGGACACAGTCACAGTTTGCACTCTGTGACATAGTGCCCTGTTTCTCAAGGCCGTAGGCAGGGTGAGAAGGAAGAGTCTAAGCCCAATGGCAGTGGGTTGGCTCCACTGACTTTAAGACACTGTCTGTAGAACCACCCACATTTCACAGACAGGAGGCTGAGACCGAGGGCTTCAGCCAAAGCTCTTCACTAGGTCCTGGTCCCCATCTACCTGGCAGCTAGCCTGTCTCAAACCTCGTGGACTGTGTGTGTGTGTGTGTGGGTGGGGGGGGATGTGGGGGTTGGTGGCAGACATTCAGATCCAGTCCTATATCAGGGCCCTTGACCCAACACTCTCCTCTCATCCCTTCTCCAGGGGACAGGAGTCAGGGCAAGGACAGGCATGACCCCAACCATTCTCACAGAATCACAGGGATCTCCTTCCGAAAAACTTACTTTCAGAATCTCCTGATGGTTCTCCGAGGCGTACAAGCGCCCATCGCGCACGATGTCTTCAATTAGCTGCTGGTAGTCCTCTGGGAGCCGGCCAGCAGGGAGAGGGAAGGTGGGGGGGGCTTGAGACCTTGCACCTCCCTCCTCTGCCCTCCCCAGCGCCCTGGACCCGCCTTGGATAGCTGGTGGTGGCTGGATGTAGCGCTGCCTCTTGGCCTTTGCTTCTGGGGTCCCCTCTACCTGCTTTGTCCTCCTGGTGGCTTAGCTGTCCCTATTTAACCTTGCAAACCCTGAAGGTGGGGCAGGACCTTCTGTGACGCCCACAGACATTGTCAGAGACAGGGATGTACAACTCATTTCTGAGTCCCCAAGCCAGGCCTCGGCTGGCGCAGAGTAGGCTGAGACAAGACAGGGGTGCCTTACCATCATAGGTGACATAGGGCACTTGAAAGCCTTTGCCGCTGTTGGCTTCGTTGGATTTGAACTGGATCCAGAGTTTGCGGGAGCGGGAGGTAAAGGCGATGGGCCGCTCATAGGTCTGGCAGGTTTCATAGGTGGTGACCGACGTGGGAGAGGCTGCAAGGATGCAGGCCTTTGCAATGCTGCTTCCAGTCTACATACAGCCCGCTGCCTCAGGCCACTCACACCCCGCCCCCCATGCCAACCTCTCACGCTTGAACACCCGGCTCCTTTGTTCCTCTGCCCTGCCCTGCCTTTCACTGTGATCTGCTTGCCTCAACCTTCTGAGGCCTGTTTCCACACCCTGCCCATAAAGTCTCCCCGTGCTTCTTGCCTCCTGCCACGTTCCTGTTACTCATTTGAAACCCCCGTTACAGTCTCTCTGTCTCCCTCAGGCTCATGGCTCCTCCATGACAGACAGGAGACCAGCTCAAGCAGGTGCAGGAGACCGAAGTCAGCATGGACCAAAGCCACCCGAAGCTCAGGTTTAGAAAGTCCTCGCACCTGGGGCTGAGTGACAAGGGTAAACTCTGGGCTGCCTCCCTGATGCTCAAGGGAGAGTTGGTGGTCAGAAGCTAGTGAATGGGAATGGATGGAGGAAGGAGTTCCAGGCTGGGCTCTGACCAGCTATGCAGGCCCCTCACTCCTTCTGGCTGCAACCCTCCATTTGCACACTGGGGCTTTCTGGCCTATCAGCCAATCAGCAAGTAGTATATGTGCAAGGTAACAGAGCCACACAGGACCTATGGCAAAGCCACCCCCTGTTCCTCCCACCCATCTTTCTGTCCACAGATGGTCTAGCTCTAGGCCAGTAGTGTAATTTCAGGCCTGTTTGGGTCTCTGACCTTCTCCTTGAACATTCTGAGTTTAGTTCAGTCCTAAGGGTGCTCACCATGCAGTGGCAGGGAAGTTTCTGGATAGGATGCTGAGGACAGAGTTGGGTCCCTGCAGGGTGCTCAGTCCCTTCCCGGGTTTTCTCACCATGGTGGCCTGTGGGCATGCACTTTCTCTACCCCAGCTAAAGGTCTGCTCTGTTTATCCCTTCCCATCTTCCCTCACCTTGCAGAGTACATAGCTAGGGCTAGCCCGGGCATCTCTAAGTATGTCTGGATGACCCTTGGCTCCTCTAAGCCCCTGAGGGAGGTCAGAAGCCTATGGAATAGGAGGGAAGTCCCAGGATCTCATTGGAGGTATGGCGATACCAAGGGGGGGGTGGGCACTGCAGCTGGCTGGACAGCTGGAAGAGACTGGCTAATAGCAAGGTTGAGACCAGAATTGACTAGGTCTAGATTGCCCCAAGCCTTCACGACCTTTCCCTAGAATTCTGTGGCCTGGCTCAGGTGGGCTTCTGTTCTACCTCAAGGGGACCTTGGAGCCACCTGCTTTCTGAGGTCTCCCTCCCACCAGGTAGAGCTGACCCAATCTGGAGTAGGGCATGGGCATATGGGCCTGTCTGGTCTTACTGTCCCAGTCCCAAGCACAGAACATACCACTCTTCCTCATGACCAGGACATCGCCACATTCATCCTCGATGGGTAGGAAGATCTCAGGGACCACGATGAGGATCCTGCGCTTGGGGGGAGGCGCGATGTGCCACACACACTCGGCATTGGCTGGGTAGTCTCCAGGGTAGTTGGGGGACTCGATATAGCCTGTGTAGTCACCAAGCTCGCCACCACAGTGCTGGTCTGTGGGTACCACGGTCAAGGGACTTGTCAGGCTGGCTACATGGGCGTTCTAGCCCTCAAAGGCAATAGAGGTGCTCCCGTGCCAGCCAATCAGGTCTTGTGCTGACTCACAGAGGGGGTGCTTGGACCAGAGGGCGTGCTTGGACCAGAGGGCAGGGCCTCAGCTATACTATTGGATTCTCTGACACTCAGCCCAGGCTTTCCTTTCTTATGGGCCTCCCTCACATGGCACAAGCCACTCTGTGCCTTTGTGTCTTTTTTTTTTTTAACTACCCTCAGTATTCTGTAGGCTGCCTGCTCCCAGTCAGCCTCACGTCCCAGCTGTGTCTCAGGTGTGAAAGGTGAAAGGCTTCTGGGTGGCTCCAGATGTGACCAGCAGCCAGGGGAGGAACTAGGAACTTATTGGGGACGTATGAAAACTACAAACTCTGAGGAATATCCAGGCATCATGGCACAAGCCTTTAATCTCAGCACTCAGAAAGCAGAGGCAGGTAGATCTTTGTGAGTTCAAGGCCAGCCTAGTCTGCACAGCTAGTTATAGGTCAGATAGGGTTACACAGAAAGACCCTGCACAGCCGGGCAGTGGTGGCGCACACCTTTAATCCCAGCACTTGGGAAGCAGAGGCAGGTGGATCTCTGTGAGTTCGAGACCAGCCTGGTCTACAAGAGCTAGTTCCAGGACAGGCTCCAAAACCACAGAGAAACCCTCTCTCGAAAAACCAAAAAAAAAAAAAAAAAAAAAAAAAAAAGCCACAAAAGAAAAAAAAAAAAAAAAAAAAAAAAAAAAAAAAAAGCCACAAAAGAAAAAAAAAAAAAAAAAAAAAAAAAAAAAAAAAAAGACCCTGCACAGAGAGACCCTCAAAACAATTAACAACAAAAACCCCAACTAAGAACAACAGCAACAAAAGCTCTCAGAAATGGAGTAAAAGTCCTAATTTAGCATCCTGTTATACCCAAAGACTGATATGCCAAGAGCTGGGGGCTGGTAGGCAAAGGCCAAACTGTCTGTTCATGTTTTCCTTTGGAACCCAAGTCTCTCAGCTACCCACAGCTACCCACAAGGCCTATCAGGCCCTCCCCCATCCCTTCCACATTGGTCCATGCTCAGTTCCCTGCTTTCTATTGCTTTCGAGTATCTGTATGGTGCCAGGTGGTGGCTTAGGTGATGCGTGCCTTGTATAGTTGCAGGCTTTGGTAGCTGCCCACAGCTTGCCACCTGCAGGCACAGAATCTGCTTTCTCTCTGGGTACCCAGAAACTAGAGTGGGGTCTGGCCTGAGTTAAGACTCAGGTAGGGATAAGCATGCATGGGGAATTATGATCTGTGATGCAATCACATTTCCTGTAGAGTGGGCAGAGCGTGGACCGCCCCTCTTTGCCAGGGACCAGCGGTCTCCTCTCACAGAGGTCCCACTTGTCCCCTGCCCACTCATTACTCCGCATTCCCAGCTCCCCTCCCACTAGGAATGACACTTACTTTTGCAGTGGGTGACATTGGTGGACCCATCAAAATCAGTGCTGGTGTTGCCCGGACAGGTGATACAGTGGTTCTGGCCAAACTCGGGCTGATAGGTGCCCACAGGGCAGCGGATGCACCGGTGGGTGGTGGTATTATAGTAGTGGCCGGGGGAACAGTGCACTGCAGGGGACAGGGGGGAGGGGTGCTGATGGGCAAGGGTGGGAGAACTTATGTGCTCTCAAGACCCTCCTCACCAAATGACCTCTCTGATTTTCCTCACCATTATGGGATAAGTGAGGCCAAGTTATATACCTCATGGCGAGGGCGAGGAAGAGCTTGGGTTGGGGTTGTCCATACCAAGGATGTGTGGGACTCCAGCATGCAGTAACAATGTAAGGGCCAAACTTACTTGAGGGGTGCAATGGGGGAGACAGTATGACTGGAGGGGGTCAGGACAGGAAGGGAGGGAAGTGGAGAGCTACACCGGACATTTCCACAAAACAAACGGGCCATGGAGCTAAGGGTGAAGTGCAGAGTTCTGCTCCTGGAACTGCGTGGGAGAGGACACGGGGCAGCCTGGGTGTCAGGAGACCCTCTGCCCATGGCAGGCTCTGTGACACTGAGGGTCCAGCCACCTGGACTTGGCTGGAGGCACAGGGTCACAGAGGGCCAGCAGGGTAGGGGAATAGACGGGGGAGGGTCAGTGGGTGAGGATGGGATGATCTGGATGCAGAGGGGAGGGGAAGCCCAAAGGGTGGCTGAGGCTGCTATTCCTGCTCTTGTGGGGCCCCTCTGCTACGCTGCCTGGCCTATACCCTCTTCTTTTCTCCCATCATCCTCTTTTCCTGTCATCGTCCTCTACCTCCCCTTTAAGCAGCCTACCTATTCCTTCAAGGTGCTGGTATTCCTACTTTTGACACTCCCGGTGCTCAACAGTCTTGAGTCTAGACACTGTCTCTTTGTGGTATGTGACGTGGTTTTGGTCACCCATGTCCCTTACTGGAGTCTTGAGACCCCCTCTTCTGACTTTGGGGTTTGCCTTTGTAGTGTCAGGGAATGTGTCCCCGAGTAGCTGGCCCCTTACCTTTGGCCTCACAGTCCTGGAAGGAGGCAGTCCCCGTGTGCTTGGTGAGAAGCCCTCCTCCACAGGGGAAGCAGCCGGTACGCCCAGGCTCGGGCTGGTATGTGCCCACAGGGCAGGCCTGGCAGGGCTTGAAACCATCCACTGAGTAGTAGCCTGGAGAACACTGGCCTGGAAGTCAGAGGTCACAGCTCAGGTAGGGGAGGATGCTGTGGCTATGAGAGGCTGACTCTGCCCTCCCTGGAAAAGGTACTCCAGGGTGGGTGGGAACGAAAAATGGGCAACTTGGGTTGGAGGCACTAGGATCTGGGTCTTGAGGCTGACAGTTTGCTGTGTGGCCTTGCCAGCCTGACTGTTCTTCCCTCACTAGCAGCACTGGCTGCAGCTAAGGAGCAAGGGGTCTCGCTGCCAAGCTGGAATACAGAGGAGGAGGTGTATTTGGGGGTTCATGCCCCAGCTTCCCAGGGGCAGGTCTCAGGTATTCACAGAAAGAATGGCCTAGGGCTCTAGACTGATGCTGTCTTATCTGTCAGGATCTGTCAGTATGACAGGCCAGAACTGGGGTGGGGGTGGTTATCTGAGAACCAAGGCCCTGACCAGGACAAAGAGGGACCACAGGAATGCCATGCCGAGCTCAGTATTCCTGCAATGTGGGCACAGGTGTTCCAATATGGAGTGGGTTTAAGGTCCTCTTGACCCAGGTCCCAAGATTCTCAGCACATATCCAAGTGGAGATTTTCCCCTCCCATGGCTACCATGTGCTTTGCTAGCCACCATTTCCTGGGGACCACATTCCTAGGGCCCAGAGGATCAGGAAGTAGCTGCAGCCACAGGGGTCTGCACTCTTCCAGGGCTCTGCTTGCCCACCCTCCTGGGCAATATGCTTTTCCAGGGCTGAGCCCTTGGTTCTTCTAGAGTGAGTCTGGCGTGGCTCGGCAGGAGATGCCAACAGGGACTCTGTTGCGGAGGGGGCTGAGTGGGCAGTAAATGGGGGGGAGGGCTGTATGCTAATACAACTGCCCCTGGTGAAAACTGAAAACTGGCTTCTCAGACATCAACAGGGCAAACAACACGTTACGTTCTCTGCGCAGAGGAGTTATGGCTAAAGATGCCTGCTTGAGTGGATTGCAGACCTTGCGGTGCTACATAAGCATTTGGGTGTTCCTTCACAAGCCACACCTCGGTCCGTCCATGACTGTAAGTTGTACACCGTGAGGCCTTTCTTGTGCGTGCTGACTATGCAAACTGTGTGGCTTTGGAAAGGGGAGAGTTTCAAACAAGACCACAGTTTACGATTGTACATGGCATTGGCTTTTTCTCTGGGAGCCTCATGAGGGGATGGTGGGCCCTGCCCGGAACCTATCCCCACTTAGCCCTCCCCTTCCAGGCGGGCCACACTTGCCTCCACATTCGGATACATTGCGGGCACCAGCCAGGCCCAGCCCTTCACTGCTGGGGCATGGCGTGCAGCTGAGCTGGCCCTCCATGTCCTGGTAGGTTCCCGACACGCACGGCACACACTGGCCCAGCTCACCGCTGAAGTAGGTGCCAGGTGCACAGGACACTGTAGAGACCGAGTGAAGGACAATGGTCAGGGGCCAATCCCTGTGTGCAGTTAGAACACAACCTTATCCCTGGGGCTTTAAGGGCCTATCCGGAAGAGCAGGGAGCACCACCCAGGTGGTAGCCATCTCTGAGGACCCTATAGGCTGGACCCTGCTGCTCCTTCTTACAGTGGTTTGCACAGTGCTTCATCACAGCTGGTCTCTGGGCTCCAGCAGGACTTCTGTGTCTCTCTGACATACATCCTACCCTCAGCCTGACTTTTTGGTCTTTTACAAAATATATCTGTCCCCCAGATGTCTATATCAGGTCCTCCTATCCCAGGCCACCTCTTCCTTTCCTGCCTGTATAGGTGAGCTGGGACCCAAAGACACAACGCAGTGCAGAACCTGGGGACCAGTAGAAGGCCTGGGTGAGAGAGTCTGGTGGTGAGCAGATTATTGTAGAGTACCGCAGAGATGCAGGGCAGCGGAGAGCCAGGATGCTGGGCTGCTGAGGGCCACCGAAGACACTCATAAGGAAAGAGGCTAAGGGTAAAGGGAGCCATGCTCATCACTGCCGGAGGTGAGTACAGACATGTAAAGGGGAGGCTGGGGAAAGTCGCCAGGTTGGATGCATGAGTATGGACTGCATTTTCATCTCACACACACAGACATAAACTGACAGATATGTACTCACGTGCACAGACACATGACACATACAGACATGCACACACACACAGAGACATCATATGACACATACAGACATACACACACATACAGAGACATACAGACATAAGAGAGAGTGAGCGAGAGAGCAAGAGAGAGTGAGCATGCGCAGGGAACAGATGCTATACAGTGTCCCTAGCTGGAATATACTCATATTTTGTTTAGTGCGACTAGGGTTCTGAAAACCGGAAATGATTTCCAGATAAAGAAGAGGATGTTGTCACTGAGCCCCTCACTGCCCCTCACGGAACCCATGCACATGTGAAGATCATGTTCTTTGTGTGTGGCCCCTGATGGTTCTCCAGGCCTGTTCAGCACCTTCCTGGGAGCAGAGTGGGAAGTCTCTGCATGCCCTTCAGTCCCCTCTTCCTCGACTTCCTGGATCAGTGGGCAAGTACCAGCTTGAGTGGCCACATCCTTGGAACCCCCGCCCCATGACATCCCTCTCTAAATACCCCTCTCCTCTCCAGGCCTCTCCATCCCACATTTAGCCTTCCTTGCATGAGCTCCTTGCATTCAGCATCAAGGAGACAGGGAGTCCACAGTAAGGCTCACTCACCTAGGGTATGTGGGACTTAGAGTTGCGTCTGTGGCTGCACGGCCCTGTCCTTTCCGCTTCATCTCTGCGTACAGTTACCTGCACACTTTCCATCATGCCCAGGAGGACTAGGACTCCGCCACCACCCAAGCCTTGTGCTGGCCCTGAATCTGTCCCCTCTTCCAGGCCATTCCTACGGGAGACTGCCTGGGTCTGGCTGTGGTTACTTTCTCCAGCTTCTCTCCTCAAGGGGCCAGGAGGCAACTGTGCTGCTCAGCCCTGGCTCAGCCTCCTGGGTCCTCAGCTCACACACCTCCTTCTCCTGCACCACACTGCAGGACTCATGCCTCACCTCCTCGACTTTGCTGTCCTGTTCCCTCTTCCAGGGCTACAGTGAGGATCACATGCCTGGCCCAGCACCAGAAGAGAGGATGCCTTCTCCAAATGGCAGTAACAGCAAGTCCTACACTCTCCTCCTTGGCAGACCATTCCCTCCGTCCCTGCTGATGTCTGTTTTCCCTGTATGCCCACTGCTGTTTCCTAAGTTACCAGTGTCAGGAGTCAGTGTCTGGGGCCACGAGCAGGGGGACTCACCACACTTGCCATCCTGTAGTATTTGGCCTGTGCCACACGTCCCTGGCCCCTCCAGTGTCTTGGCTGGCCGCTGGGCCACTTCGTACTCAGTGCCCGAGATCTGGATATAGAACTGGTGGCGGCTGATGGACTTCCGCAGAGTCTTGATGGCGGCCTGCAGGCTCTGCTCGGTCCGCTTCCGCATGCAGTCTGCTTCACAGGTGTCTGCAGGGGAGGAAGGGACCCAGCGACAGTAACTATAACCTGCTAGTGGCTGCATTCTTTGCTGAGAGCTCCCCCAAACCAGTCCCTGTGCTGAGTTTCACAGCTCAGTACAGTCTCACAACAGAACTGGGTCGGTGGGGGGTGGGGAGCTTTAGAGGTGTCTGACAGAAACTGAGATTGAGGGTCTAAGATACATGGCCTAGCCAAGGCTACAAAGCAGTTCTGAGTCTGAGTAAGGCCTTTGCCCATTCTCGAGGATTGCTACTGTCCCCAGGGTAGTGTCCAGTTCTGACAGGCTAGATATAAAGTGTCCTCCAGGACTGGGAAGATGGCTCAGTTGGTAAAGTGCTTGCTGGCATGCAATCATGAGGTCCTGAGTTCCAATCCCCCGATCCCTCGTACCCACATAAAAACCAAGTGATGTGTAACCCCAGCCCTGGGGTAGATAGACAGGTGAATGTCCAGAGCTCTTTGGCCAGCTAACCTATCGAGACAAGGCACCCAGTGTTCAGTGAGAGACCGTCAGGTGTGGCCACTCCCCTTTAATCCTAGGGCTCAGGAAGCAGAGGCTCTTTGTGAGTTTCAAGCTAGCCTGGTCTACATAGCAAGTTCTAGGCCAGCAAGGGCTAAATAGTGAGACCTGGTCTCAAAAAAAAATTGTATATTGATCTTTTGCCTTCACATGTTGATTCCCCTCCCCCCACCATGTACACCAGCACCCCCCCCCCTCCATAAAGATTCCTGCACTAAAGGTGTGTCCCTTGCTGGCAGTGCTAGATGGAGAAGTTCTGGAAACATTAGGTGGTAATGTAATAGGCCATGGAGGCAGATCCTCGTGGGTCCCTCTCTGTCTCTCTCTGCTTCCTGTTTGCCTCTGCCCCTCTTCCTCACCTCTTCCTGGGTACGGCCTCTTCTCTCTGACCTCGGTGCCTTTACCTACTCTGTTCCTCTCCTTGAACCCCATTCCTTGCCACTTCTATTAGATTAATTTTGATTTCAATTTGCTTTAGAAGGTTTTCAGGGCAGGCGCCGCACGGTGGTGCACGCCTTTAATCCCAGCTCTCGGGAGTCTGAGGCAGGAGGATCGAGGATCTCTGTGTGTTTGAGTCTAGTCCAGTTTACATAGAGTTCTAGGACAGCAAAGGCTGCATAACAGCAAGAACCTGTCTCAAAAGGACCAAAAATAAAATAATAAAAAAGCAAACAACTGACCCATCACCTGCCGGTATAGCTAAGAAGAATTGCTTGTATGAAGCACAGCCTGTATTACAAGCCTCCCTTCAGTGTCCTCCCGCCCTCCCCCTCCCCCTGTGGCTGGGAAGAGGGCCTGGCTCAGACACTTTGGGGAGGCTCCGTCCTGTCCTTCCTGTCCCAGTAGGGACATAGAGTTGGGGTTCTCGTGCTGTCTCTGCCCCTTAGCTGTGCTCCAAGTGTTACCCTGAGTTGCCTCCTGCACTGGGGGCTACAGGGCTTGGCCCACAGTGTGTAGCAATTCCCTGTGAGTTCCTACTTCCGTTGGGCTCACTCAGTCTTAGGTCTAACAGACTCCCAGCCCCCAAGAACACGTCACCCACCTGAGACTCCCAGCCCCCAAGAACACGTCACCCACCTGAGGCCTCGTCCATCTTCATCTCTACTTCAAACTCGGCCGTGATATGGGACACCTCCTTGGATGGGGACTTGCGGCCTCGGCGCCTCTTCTTGGAGGAGTCACACTTGAGGGTCACAAAAGTCACGTGGCAGTTATCTGAACAGAGAAGGGCACACTATCGTGTTGTGGAATCGTAACTAGGCAAAGATGTGTTACACTTGTTTCTGCGGTGGAATATTCCTTTATGTGAAGGTGTGTTACATTTGTTGCTGCTGCCTTTGTTAAGGAGGTAAAGATGTATTACATTTGTTTCACCTTGCCTGCCTAAGGCACCTGATTGGTCTAATAAAAAATTGAACGGTCAAAAGCTAGCAAAGCAGGAGAGGGATAGGCAGGGCTGGCAGGCAGAGAGAATAAATAGGAGGAGAACTCTAGACTAGGGAAGAACCAGAGAAGAAGATAGGGGACCGAGAGAAAGGGACATGCCTGGATCGCCAGGCAGGCAGATGTGGAAGAAGCAGGAAAAGTAGGAATACAGAAAGAAAAGGTAAAAAGCCCTGAGGCAAAACGTAGAAAAGAAAAACAGGTTAATTTAAGTTAAAAAAAAAAAAAGCTAGCCAAAAACAAGTCTAAGCTAGGCCGAACATTCATAATTAATAAGTCTCTGTGTCATGATTTGGGAGCTGGTTGGTGGCCCCAAAGAAAAAGGCTGGTGCACTGTAGCAAAGGTGATCTGTGTTGGAAGGAGGGTCCTTCCTGACCCCACATGCAAACTCCCATGGGAAAGGTCCCTCCGCATCCAGGAGGCCATGGAACAGATGGGGACACCGAGGTTGCAGAAGACCAGAGCTGCTCAGGGTCTCACAGGCACTGGGGGTTGAAGTCTCAGGCCCAGCATGAATGACTTATCATCACACATGGAGGTATCCCATAATACTTACCGAGGAGGCCATGTGTCTACTCAGCACCTGCTGAGAGTCTGGCCAAGGGACCCTCCACCCCAGGTAAAGCCTCTTGCGGGCTCTCTTTCGCAGGTCTGTGGGAGGATCTCCAGGGACCAGAGATGGGGATTTCCTTCTTTGGCCTCTTACTGCATTGTCAATGGTTTTCTCCCACCCAACACCTGAAAGCTCTTCTGTCAGGGCTCCACCAGGCCACAGAGAATGTGTGTGTGTGTGTGTGTGTGTGTGTGTGTGTGTGTGTGTGTGTGTGACGTACTCCTCTGTGAGGCTGTGACAGTGACCTTCTAGGTGCTTCAGTACCCATGTTTCCCTCTCATGACCTTTGCTTACTGCAGGCCGGGCATGACTCAGAGGACTAAGGGGCCCTGGTGGAGGACAGACAGGAGCCTATACTTGGCAACCCCAACCAGCATGGCTGGGGACTTCACCTCTGCTCCCCAGTAAGCAGGAGGAAGATGGTCCACTTACCCAGAAGGGGGTGCCTCAGGGTGTCCTTGGCTCGCTCCTGGCTGCGGGGCCGGAGATGGCACTTGGCATCTCTGATCTTGAAGCGGGCCTTCTGCCTGATGGGGGTGGTGGGGGCATCTGGGGAAAGCCAAAATTCCCCCAGGTGGCGGCCTCTCCTGTGGGCAAGGAGGTAGTGGGGGACGGGGGCTGCCAGAGGATGGGTCCTTCTGGAGCTGGGTGGGGCTTGGTGGGTAGGGCTTGGTGGGTGGGCCATGCTGCCCCGGCAGCCCTCCTGGCTGGAGGAACCTTCCCTGCCCCACTTTTTTCTCCCTGTAAGGCCTGAAACAGGTGCTGGTGGGGTCCAACTCAAGGCCAGGGGCCTGGGAGAAGTCTTCCCCCAATGGGGGAAAGAACACTGCTCACCTCCTTCGTGACTACAGTCACAGACACACATGGCTGTGCTTTTAGGAGAGAGGACAGAGAAGCACAAGGAGGGGCGAGGGCTTCAAATCCCAGGACACCTAGAACCATAGACCTCTCCAGAGCAGACCCCAGCTCCATGGACCAGAGTCCTGTGACCCCGAAAGCTCATGAACCCTCCTGGATGTGTTAGGCACAGCATCCCAGCATTCTTTGCTGTACTGGAAGCAGGCTTGGTTCTGAGAGGCAGGGACTCTGAGCGCCTCTTGAGCACAATGTCCAAGGGCCGCTCTGTCGGCTAAGTTTAAGGCTATCCTTTGCTACATTGCTTTTTGGGGGCCAGCCTGGGCTCCATATGAGACCCTGTCTCAAACAACGGCAGTAACAGGGGCCGTGGGATCACAACATTTTGTAGTTACTAAATCACTCTACTACTGTGACCTCAGTCAGAAAGGCCTCTTGTGGCTCCCCGGCTGTGGGCTAGGCCCAGAATGGAAAACGTTTCCCTGGGTGATCCCCTACCCTTTCCTAAATCATGCACTGGATGAAAGATGAAATGATCATTTTGGCCTGTGTGGTGTGGACAGGCCCAAGGTTACCTGAGCAGCTGGGCCCTGCACTGGAGCTGGTGCCGTTGCGTTTCGGCAGCGCCTTGCCCTGGAGACCTGGGACACCGCAGCTCAGGATGTAGCTGTTTTCTGAGTCTGTGGAGAGGTCAGTGGGGAAGGTTGGCTAGGGTGTACCTCTGTCCTAGGGTCCCAGATTCTTGAGGTCTCTAAGGGGTTGCTGAATGAACTGAAGATCAACACTGGCTCCTGTGGAGGCTGCCCAGGCCCACAGAGTGCCCGGCAGCTAGCTGTCTGGGACAGCTCTGTGACTGGGAGCCCCGCATTGGGCTCTGTCCTGCTGAGCAGTAGCAAGCAGGTGTGCACCCCAGGAAGCAACACACTGACCCATCCCAACCCAGAGGGCCAGGGGTTACCTGGCATGAAGAGACTGTGGCCCAGGCAGGACAGGAAGCAGTTCTCCACGCCACCCACCTTGCCGCAGGACAGCTGCGCCTGGGCAGAGGCCTTGGACCGAGACAGGCATCCACTCGTCTCTGAGGAAAGAGAGACAAAGAGGACTTGAGCGAGCTCAGAGGACCTCTGGGTGCTAGTAGGGGCCTTGAACGTGGGTCAGGTCAGCCTCCTAACCCCCTCACAGGGCCAGACTGTAGCAGACTGGAAATAGGAAGATGCAGGTCTATTTGGTAGTGTGGGGTGCTGGCCGCTGACAGTCAGCTTATTCTGTCCCCCTACAATCTTGGTCTTGTATTTGAGGAAAGGAGAATTCTTCCCTGGCAGTCCCCCCACCCTTTTCTAAAAAATGCACCAGATGACAATGAAAGCATCATTTAGGTGTGTCCTCAGAGCAGGTGCCTGGGTCTATCCTGGATCAGAGGACATTTGGGCAGGGACCAACTTCAGGGTACAGGGAGGGGCAGCGTCTCCATCCAGGAGGCACTTGAAGATGCTCAAAGCAGTTCTTTGATCGTCTCCCATGGTTATTGTTAGAAGATTGAAAACATCAGGCTGGAGAGATAGTTCAGCAACAAAGAGCATTGGCTCCTCTTCCAGAGGACCTGGGTTCGATTCCCAGCATCCACATGGCAGCTCACACTGTAACTCAAGTTCCAGTGGGTCTGACACCCTCACACAGACATACATGCGGGCCAAATATAAATGCACATAAAAATAAATAAATAAGCTGGGTGGTGGTGGCGCACGCCTTTAATCCCAGCACTCGGGAGGCAGAGGCCAGCCTGGTCTACAAAGTGAGTTCCAAGACAGCCAGGATGGTTACACAGAGAGACCCTGTCTTGAAAAACAAAAACAAAACAAATAAATAGACAAATAAACAAAGACTGAAAGCATCCTAGGGAAAGCGACTAGGGAGACAGCTCAGTCGGTAAAGTGCTTTCTTTTCTGCAAGCTTGAGGAGTGTTAGAGTTCCCCTGCACATACAAGCAGGTGTGGTAGCTCATGCCTGAGTGGGGGGGGGGGATGAGTGGCATTAGGGGTGATAGCAGAGACGGGGCGGGGGGCGTCCCTGCAGCTCCTTGATCAGCCAGCCTAGCGGAATCGATGAGTCAGAGGTGCAGTGAGAGACCGCGCCCTAAAAGAATAAGGTGGAGGGCAAGAGAGAAAGACACCTGGAGACACCCAATGTAGAACCTTATGTAGGCTTCTGGCTGCCACACCCACATGGATATACCTGCATATGCACGTGCACACACACATGTACACATTATTCAGATATGTCCATATACCAGAGAGAGGGAGGAGAGAGAATCTGATTAGTAAGAAATGATGGTTGGTTCTGGGTCAGAGCAGCAGCATGCCATATACTCGGAGTCAGTCTTAGGGGAAGCCCAGGCTCAGGGAAGTCACTCCAGTGGCCAGATCACAAGGCTCTATCAAGCCACACCCCCTCGCAGCTGGCACGAGTCACACTTAGACTCTAGTCCAAACCTAACACCACCTGAAACAAATCCCTCTCACACTCCTCTGAGGATCAGCGCGTGGCTTTGCTCAGTGAGCAAGCCTGAAACACAACTCTCCCTCACAGAGGTCACTGCTGGGCTTCCTGTACGAGACGCTGAGTGGCCGGTGCTTCCTTCGGCAGTGCCCTCCCTAGAGCATCCACCAGCTCCTGCAGTCATCCCGTTCTCCTGATCCAGACTTAAACCTAGGGCCTCACGCATGCTAGTTCAGTCTCTGCCTCTGAGCTGAGCTACCAGCTCAGCTTTTTAAAATTTTGTTTTCATTCTTTTTAAAAATTTTATGTGTATGGGTGTTTTTGCTGTATGCATGCCTGTGTACCCAGGTGTGTGCCTGGTGCCCATAAAGGCGAAATGAGGATGTTGGATTCCCTTGAACTGGAGTTCCAGATGGCTGTGAGCTACCATGGAGGTGCTGGAACCGATCTTGGGTCCTCTGGAAGAGCAGCAATGCCCTCAAATGCTGAGCTCGGTCTCCAGCCCCTTCTGACTTCTTTCTTAATAATCCCTTGTTTCCTTGGTGCTGAGCTCTGTACTTCATTATACAGAATTCCATGAAAATCATGTGTTTATGGCGCTGGAAAGATGGCTCAGTGGTTAAGAGCACTGATTGCTCTTCCAGAGGACCTGGTTTCAATTCCCAGCACCCATATGGCGGCTCACAACTGTAACTCCAGTTCCAGGACACTCGACACCTTCACATAGACATGCATGCAGACAAAACACCCTTTCACATAAAATAAATACTTTTCAAAAATTTTTGTCCAGGGCTGGGGGATGGCTCAGCTGATAAAGTCCTTGCCCCAGAAGTAGGAGGACCTGAGTCGGATTCCTAGAAGGCACAGAGAAGAAGCTGGGTGTGAAAGCACAGGCTTGTAACCCAGTACTGGAGGCAGAGATGAGATAGTTGGCAAGCTGACTCGGTGAGAGACAGAGGAAGGCACGTGATGGCCTGCTTGGGCTTCCACATGGGTGAGTCATGTCGTGGTTCACGGAACTCATCAGATGTAATAAAACCCCACTGAACTATCTGCCGATCTGCATGGGTGAATTCCGTGCATGGCATGGGAGCTACGTCTCAATGCAGCTATTGGCAGAAAAGGAAGAGCAAACCCTAGAGAGATGCCATCAGCCGGAACATGCAGAAATTATCCAGTTGAGTCAAGCCTGTCTCAAACCTGTACTGTCGCTACAGACAACCTGGTAAGTGTTTAGGGAGCCATGGCGGAGCCTGTGGAGTCACGAGCAACTCTGGAGTGCTAAGAAAACTGAGCACTTTCATGGTCACAGCTGAACCCTGAGACCCTCAACATAGGAGTCAGAAGTCACAGGAAGTGCTTTCCCCAGCTCCCCCCTCTCAGCAGGCTGCTCTGACCTGAGTATTAAGGTCAGGGCCTCCACTAGCACAGACAGCCGAGATCCCCATCCCGTGCGCCACCACAGATATGGTGCCCAACAGCGGTCTGATAGTGAGAGTCCGGAGGATGCTATCTGGTGAACCAGGCTGTCCCCCAGGTGCCCCTCCCCCACACGGATATCTGCTAACACCTTCTTGAGAACTCACCCTATGGGACCATCTCACAACCAGGAAGCTTTTCCTGTGTCCCAGCAACCCTCACTGTGCTGGAGCTAAGAGCCCCAAGCAGATATAAAGAGATTGGAACTGAGCTTTAGGCTCCACCCCCCACCCCGGTGGGTAGGAACACATACAGGAAGAGTGGTTTTCTAGATGAGCTGAAGCAGTCCTGCTGAAAAGGATCTTTGCACTCACAGGAGCCAGAACAGGACATTCTGTCTTCACACTTGTGGCACGCTGAAGCCCTCCTCAAGTAATAAAAGACTCATTTTATTGGAGGAATTTGTCATGAAGTGCTTAGGAATGAATGCCACTGTCTTCATTATCCTTGCTGCCCTGGAAGACTAGAAGTGAATTTTCCAGGCTGTAAGACCACCCTGGAGAAGCCTTAGCTGAGGTTCTGCACAATGCACAGAAACTGACCTCCTAGGATTCCGAGCAGACGGCTGACGTCACACAGCTTAGCAAAGGCCACGGAAGAAACCCACCTAGATGTCAGACACTGCCTAGCTCCATGTGCCCCGTGGAGCGTGTTCACGCACTAGTCTTTTTCTTCTTAAGATATATTATGTATAGTGTTCTGCCTGCATGAAGCCTACAGGCCAGAAGAGGGAGCCAGATCTCATTATAGATGGCTGTGAGCTACAATGTAGTTGCTAGGAATTGAACTGGGGACCTCTGGAAGAACAGCCAATTGCTCCTAACCTCTGACCCATCTCTCTAGCCCTACTTCAATCTTCTTCAAACGACAACCTATCTTCAAATGACAGGTCTCGTATACCCCTGTCTGGCCTCAGACTTGCCATGTGGCTAAGGAGAATCTCGAACTCCCAATCCTCCTGTCTCCACCTCCCAAGCTCTGAGATGACAAGTGTGTATTACCACACTCGGATGTCCTTCTGTTTTCTCATGATGGTTTTCCCACCATTTGGATTTCTGGATCAACCCTTCTGACTTAACCTGTCATGCATGGCAACCCACCCGTGCCTCACCTTTCCTGGGATAGCCACTATCTGAATTCTATAATCAGATCTCCATCTATTGCCAGTTTGAAAACCACAAGGCATGTTCTTTGTGGTCAAAGAGGGAAAGGCCCTATCATTGAAAGACAGCTTTAGGGATCCCTTCCAGCCACCTGTGGCTATCAACCCCCTCTTTTCCAGACTAGCACCACTGAGAAGGGTCACATGGCTCAGGAAAAGCTGTCTGGTTGATAGCACTAGGACCAGGCTGACAGCTCAGTGGGGGCTCTGAGATCTTTTCAATTTTAGGATATTCCACTCCAACACTCGCAGTGACCTGTGCTCTCCTAGGAACTGGAGGGACACTGTCCTTTTGAGGGGTGTAATAATAATAATGGGCGAAACAGATCATGGGATTAGACAGGCCATCCATGGGGACCAGGCAACCCAGAGTGCTCACCAAAAGTTTGTCCTGGGTGGGGTGTGTAATCCTAGCATTTGGGAAGTAGAAACGGGGATTAGGAGTTCAAGGCCAACCTCAGCTACTGGGGTGTAGCTACAGTGGTAGTACTAGCGTGCAGGAGACCCTGGGTTCCATTCTCAGCTCTGCAACACAAATGGATGACAGTGAAAACTGCAGCCTGTGCAAAAAACGGAGTGGGACAGCAGGGAGCTCAGCAGGCTGGCGCGCTGCCATCACAGTCCCCGACGGCAGAGCAATCTGGCTATCTGTGGGTCTAGCATCTAGCTCATGGACACAGGAAGCCTTCCAGCACCTTCCACTAATACCCTCAGTTATACTTGTCTGTCTCAGTCAGCCCATGCCCAGAGTCTAGAACATTCAGTGTCTCAGGTGACTTAAAGGAGAAGGTAGTAAAACTTGTCATTCACCGCCACAGCACTCAGACCAATGACAGCCCCCCAACAGTGATAGCCAGGCCCCCAAGGCAGCCAGACCTTCTGGTGATTTGAATACAAATAGTTCCCACAGCCTCATGGAATGCTTAGTCACAGGGAGTGGTGCTATTTGAAAGGATTATAAGGATTAGGAGGTGTGGCCTTGTTGAGTAGGTGTAAACTTTCTGGAGGAAGCGTGTCACTGGGGGTAGGCTTTGAGGTTTCAGAAGCCCGTGCCAGGCCTGAGCTGTCTGCCTGTGCATCAGATGTAGCTCTAGCACCCGTCTGCATGCTGCCATGCTCCCCACCATGGTGACAATGGGCTAAACCTGCTCTAAGCAAGTCCCCAAGAACTGCCTTGGTCATGGTGTCTCTTTGCAGTGAGAGAATAGTGACTAAGACAGCCCTCCACCTATGCCACAACATTCAGTGGAGACTGGACAAGCCCCGACACTTCAGGCATCCTTGGTTCTGGGAGAGTGGGTGCAGGGTTGGCATGGAGCAAATGCAGGGAGGGTGGGTGGGAGGTCCGATGGCTATTCTAACAGCTGCACTCTGGCTGGGCATGCTGGAGCACGCCTGTAACCCCAGAACTTAGGAGACAGAGGCAGGAGGATTCTATGAGTCCGACACAGTCTGGCCTATATAGTGAGTTCTAGGACAGCCAGGCCTACATAATGAGACCCTGTGTTAAAACAACAGAATAAAAAGGGACGAGGATGGACCGGGGCTTTGATTCTTAAGTGAATGAAGTCTTGATGGGGGGCTCTTGGGAGAGAGTTTCTGAAGTTTCAGTGTTTTCGTTAATAGAAGCTAAATCTAGGCTCTCATGTGTGCTAGGCAGGTGTTCTACCACTGAAGTATATCCCCAACCCTCTTTTTACTTCAATTTTGACATTGGATCTCACAGAATTGTCTGAACTCATGGAATTCACTCAGCTGACCTTGGACTCACTCTGTTGCCAGGCAGGTGTTGACTTTTTGGTCTCCCTGCCTCAGCCTCTGGAATAACTGGGATTTCACAGGTCACTATGCCTAGCAACCGCCTTTATAAGTTGCCTAGGACTACAGAGCATGTCAGGGCAGCAACTTGGAGAGTGAGTTCCAGGAGGACAGGCATATGGCATTCCCAGACCTGCTCCCTGGTCCTGTGGGGGCTCAGTTGATCTTTTATTTGCTGGACCAATGAATATGAGTCACTGGAATGCGGCTAGAGAGGACAGAGCCTTTGCAGAGAGGGCATAGGAAACCAGGGCTGTCAAGGAGGCAGTGCTGTGAGGGGCTGGCCACTGGGTGGGGTTTAGGGGTAGGATTTGCAGGCCTGGTGCTGCCATTGCAATAACAGGAGTCAAGCCAGTGTACTCCCTGGAACTTCCTCAGAAGGACCAGAGGACCTGATGGAGGCAGGACCATCCATCTACCTCTTTCAGCTTCCAGGAGAGTCCCAGGCCCAAAGCATTGGCTACACAGACTCCCAGATCTCCTGCTCTGTGGTCCATCTCCCCATCTCAGGGCCCTTGTTCTGTGTCCCTGGCTGACACTATGCTTGCCTGGTCGCCAATGTGCCCCTCATCAACAAGCCCTGTTTCCCATTAGCCAACCCCACTGACAAGAGATTCCTGCCCACTAACCCAGGAGGACCCAAGGAGTCCCCTACTTATGTAGTCACTGTCTCTTGCATTATCCCCTCCCCCTCCATACAGAGGGCAGGGCCAGCAGGTGGCCCCTCCCCACTCACCCACACAGTCCTTCCGGTTCCAATGCAGCCTCCTTCCCGGTGGGCAGACACACTCGTAGCTGCCCCTGGTGTTGACACAGCCCTGCTCGCAGCTGCCGTTGTTCACGCTGCACTCATCCATGTCTGGAAACACAGGCACGAGAGTGAGGGCAGGAGGGGGTGGGAACCACCAGCCCAGTCCACACCCATGGCACTGGGAGGGCAGAGGGCACCCAGGATCCGAGACCAGGAAGCTCCTGTCCCCAGAGCAGTCTGGGACAGGTCCCAGGAATCACGAATGTCTCATCTCCCGAAGGGAAAGCATCAGCTCTTTCCCTGCCTTAGTTTCCCCTTCTGCACCAGGGTGAAAGGGTTGAAAGCCTGAGACCCCCTCCTCTGACCTAAAGCCACCTCTAGGCAAGGGCTAGCTCTTCCATCTGCAGGCCACCCAATTGCCACACACAGTATCTTCCTGTCAGTCTGGGAGGTGGCACTTGGTGTTTGACAGTCCCTCCACAACAGCATCAGCCTAGAGTGGCTACTCCGCCCATTTCCGGTATTACCTGGCCCTCTCAAGCTTCACGGTCACAGAGAAAGAAGTGAGACTGTGGTTCCCCGCCCCACCCCCATCTTCATCAGCCACACCTTTGTTTAGCCCGAGGCCCTTTGGTTTAGCCTATGCTCCTTTGGTGCAGAGTATGGAATCCAGGGTCCTAGGCAAGAGCTCCCCCTCCCCTGGGCTGATGGCTCTTGAATCTTCTCTCCATCCCTGGCTCCCACCCTACATCACAGGCCCAAGGTTTCAGGCCATGGACCACCTCCCTATGGGCTATCTGGATCCCACACTCCCTCCACAGCCAGAGCCCTCTGTCCCACTGTACTGCACACTGCTTCAAGTCTTCCTGCTTTTGTGTGTGCCCTTAAGCACCCTCCAGGCCATGCAGCCCAGTACATCCTGGGCATGGATCTCCTTAGAGGATATTACCCTGTTTCCCGCTGCTTGTGGGCTCATTTCCGGGACACTCCTCCCTCTGTGACTCTGAACGTGCTGTCCTCACTGGATGGTGTTCCCATCTTGACCTAAACTTTCCCCCTTTAGGATTCTCATTGCCTCACCATCCTTCCTTCCTCTAGAGTGCACTTTCTGGAATTTTCTGTGCACCGGTCACTCCCATCTGGACTGGGGCACCCCAGGAAATGAGGTTCTGGGCTTATATTTCCAAGCTGGCTAAGGTACCCCATGGTACCTCCCATGCCCTGCCTCCCCCATCTTCCGTCCTTTATCCTGTCCTGTGCTTGGCAGGATCCCTCTGTCCCCAAAGTTCCCAGCCTTGCAAGGTCCCTCCCAGGCCCACCAGGGTCAAGGTGGGGGTCGGGGTGTGGGGAGCAGTGTTGATGGCTATATGGCCAGGTGCGTGCCTCGAGGGGGAGGTGGCCCTGGCGGGCGGGCTGCAGACCTCCGCAGTGGGTTGTCCCGTAGAGTATGTAGCCACGGTGGCACAGGCACTGGAAGCTGCCAGGGGAATTGATGCAGATGTGGTCGCAGGTCCGCTCAAAAGAACACTCGTCGATGTCTGTGGCCACAGGAAAAGAGCACGGGTGTCAGTATGAAGTGACTAGATCGGTGTGTCTCCCAGTGAACACCCCCCTGGATGGGGTCCCTGGGACCCCAGGCTCAGCACAGCCTCCCACATTCTATTAGGCTTCTTGTTGCTCAACTTTCCCACCCTGCCTCTATTAGCCTTGTTTCTGGGACAGAATCCCCTCACATCTGTTCTGGAAGTGGGTGGGGCAAAATATCATGAGTAGAGAGGATTATTATGGACCTTTGTTATGTTAATATCTCATTAATTTGTGGTTAGGAAAGATTATGTTTGCTTTAGAGTGTGTGTGTGTGTGTGTGTGCTTGCAGGCGTGCATGTGCATATGTGGTGTATGTACATGTGTGCGTGTATGTGTGCCCATGTGTTTACTGTGCATACATGTGCAGGCCAGAGGTCAATAGTGAATATCTTCCTCATTTACTCTCCATCTTAATTATTTTTAAAAAAATGTTTATGTCTTAAATTATGTGAGTGCAGTGCCCAAGGAGGACAGAAGAGGGCATCAGAGCCCAAAGAGCTTACAGGCCACTGTAAGCCTTCTGATATGGGCTGGGAACTGAACCCAGGTCCCTTGCGAGAGCAGTTCATGCTCTTAGTCACTGAGCCATCCAGTCTTACTTATTTGTTAATTGAGACAGGGTCTCTCACTGAATGGGAAGTTCCCTGTCAGCTAGACGGACTGGCCTGCAAGTCCTCGTCCCTCACCCTGCTCCCCATGCTGGGTTCACGGGCATGTGTTGCTGTGCTTGGCGTTTATATGGCTGCTGGGAGTATGAGATCCTCAAGCTTGCTCAGAAAGAGCTTCATACTGAGGCACCTCCCCATCCTGTTCTGGTTTTTCTTTTGAGACTGGGGTGCGAGCATGTGATCTCAGTACGTAGCCCAAACTGGCTTTGAATTCCTGGCTCTCCTGCCTCTGCCTCCCAGACACATTGTAGGCACCCCTGTGCAGACCTATAATGGAAAGGAACAAGCTGGACAGGGAGAAATAGAAGACGCACAGCGTAAGAGGAAAAGCAGCACCAGGAAAGGTGGCCTGAGCGCCGAGGCCTGAACTCAAGGGAATAAAACGTTTAAAGAAAAGGCTGGTGCTAAATGGAATAAAGGGGGCGGTGACCTCAGCGCAAGACCCAACCCGGCTAAGATTCCAACAGTGAAAAGGAAGTAAAGGAAGTACAGGCAGGGAAGGGAGCCACCAACAACTAAAAGCCGACACAAATGTTATTGATGGGGGGGCAAGTTTCAGCCCCAACAACAAGAATTTGGCAGCATCATTCATGGTTCTGACTTTGGCGTCAAAAATACAATGAAGGGATTGTGGAATCTGGTGGGGTGGCTAAGGAAAGGTGCTGAGGCCAGGCATGTGGCAGGGGTGTCCATGCATGGAGACCCACAGAGGCCATTGTGTGAAGGTGTGAAGACCTGGATCGCCCTGGAGACCCCAAGATGTTGGAGATGCCAGAGCCATGGGACACCTGCCAAGGAGCGCTCGGAATGGAGCAGAACTGGCCCAAGAAAGACCAGTGTTCTGCATTCAACAAAGCTGGATGGAGTTGGAGATCTGAAGAGCAATTTGACATCAGACACGGAGATGCAGAGCTTAGAGTTTGCCCGGCTGGTCCAGTATTTCCTTACTGTGCTCCCTCTCCTCTGTTTTGGAATGGCGATGTATGTTCCCTGCTGGTGTATGTGATCCACTTTTTGTTTGTTTGGTTTTTTTTTTTTTTTTTCCGAGACAGGGTTTCTCTGTGGTTTTGGAGCCTGTCCTGGAACTAGCTCTTGTAGACCAGGCTGGTCTCGAACTCACAGAGATCCGCCTGCCTCTGCCTCCCGAGTGCTGGGATTAAAGGCGTGCACCATCACCGCCCGGCTGTGATCCACTTTTTAAATTTGGTTTTACAGATTACACTTAAGAGATTGCCTGGAGTCTCAGGAGAGACGTTGGACTTTGGATTTTCAAGCAGTCTTGAGGTTGTGAAAGACTATGGGGACTTTTGAAGATGAACTAAATGTATTTTTGCATTATGGTGTGGCTACAAGCCTATGGGGTCCAGGGAGTAGAATGTGGTGGTTTGAATAAGAATGTCTCCCAGAGTCACCAGGGAGTGGAACTGTTTGAAAGGATTCGGAGGAATAGGAGGTGTGGCCTTGGTGGAGGAAGTGAGTCACTGGGGGTGGGCTTTGAGGTTTCAAAAGCCCACACCAGGCCCAGCCTCACTCTCTGCTTGGGGACTGGGATGTAGCTCTTAGCTACTGCTCCAGCACCATGCTCCCCACCATGACAATAATGGACTAAGCCTCTGGAACTGTAAGCAAGCCCCCAATTAAATGGTTTCTCCTATAAGAGTTGCCTTGCCCATGGTGTCTCTTCATAGCAATAGAATAGTAACTAATGTATGCATAATAAGATTTCCCTCAGCCGGGCGGTGGTGGCCCATGCCTTTAATCCCAGCACTCGGGAGGCAGAGGCAGGCGGATCTCTGTGAGTTCGAGGCCAGCCTGGTCTACAAGAGCTAGTTCCAGGACAGGAACCAAAAGCTACGGAGAAACCCTGTCTCGAAAATTTAAAAAAAAAAATTTCCCTCAGAGTTTATGTTTAGGACAGACTGCCTCCTGTGAGCACGTGACCCTGACCTGACCCTCCATGGGCACAGCAGTTAAGAGTTTGTTCTCTGAATACATCGGCTCTGACTCTAGTGATATCATACTTATTTAAAATGTGCTTATAAGACCCTAATACAAGGGAGATGATGTTCTTTGGGTGCTCACATGAGGGTGTGAGATCTCCCTGGAAGGACCTCCTGAGCTATGGATAGGTCCTGTTTGGAAAGGAGAAGGGAGGCTCCAGGCAAAGGCGGGGAGGGTCAGAGGGCAGTGGGAAGGTGCTAGGGTCCCTAAGAAGCTTGGACTCTTCTTTGATTGACCAGGGGAGCCTTCAGATGGATGAGCTGGAAAAGGGGTGTAGATACAAATGGGGCTGGGTGGGATGTACGCCAGCAAGGGCCTTGGTGCGGAACCTGAGTGTGCCTACTACCTGGCCTGTTCTCTCAGGGCTGGTTGAGGATTCAAGGTCAAAGATTCTTGGCCAGTGGTTCCCAATCTTCCTAATGCTGCAAGCCTTTAATATATTTCCTCATGTTGCGGTGACTCCCAACCATGAAGTTATTTCATTGCTACTTCATAACTGTAATTTTGCTGCTGTTATGAATTGCAATTTAAATATCTGCTGTGTAGGATATCTGGATATGTGACCCCCGTGAAAGGGTTGTTTGACCCCCAAAAGGGGTTGTGACCCAACCATCGAGAACCACTGCCCTTAGCTCTCCATAGAGCTTGGTAAACTGATGGTGAAACAAAGCCAGACCGTGGAGGACCCTTGGGGCTCCTGATCAGCCTGCATCTAGAAAAGATGGGCCAGCATGTTTATCCAGGGAAGTAAGGCCTGGCTAGGGGAGGCTGTGGCTGGCCTTGACCCAGTGAGTAGGCCAGGTTGGTGCTGGGTACCTCTTGGCACCCTCTTCTTACCAGGACCTGGGACCTTACTGCTGTGACACTGAACTGTATTTACAGGCAGAGGCTGCCAGTTTAATAACCACAGAGCTGCCTGCTCTGCAATTAGAGGGGTCTTGTGGGAACAAAATAGCCAGACTCTTCTAGGATAGTCAGGTTAGAACTGAGGCCCGGATGCTTTTCATGTGTTTTCTCCCCAAGTTGGTTCTCGGGGGTACCTGCCTCCTTTCCAGTGGACCTCCTCAGCCCCAGCAAGGTCTCGTGAACCGAAGTTCCCTCTCCTAACAGACCAACTCCCTGTTTGTCTTGGGAAATGAGTTGTCCAGTGTGTCACCGGTAATTTCCCCAGGAATCTCCCTGATTTCCCTTCTCCTGGGATGCCTGCATCCTAGGGGTTTCTCGGCTTGTCCTGTGACTCTTGACTACTCTGTCCAGTCAGATCCTCAGTTATCCTTGTCCCAGCAGAAGCCAAACCTCTGCTGGGAAAACATCTGTGATGTATGATGCCTTCCACTAGAAGGCAGTATTGTGCCTTTAGAACAGGGCTGCCAGCAGGAGGAAGGCATGGATGGGAGGGGAGAATGGGTGGATCTCTCTCTAGGTCTTAGTTTCCCATAAATAAATTTTAGATTAGGTCTCACTGTGTAGCCCAGGCTAGACTCATTCCCACATTCATGTCCCAGCTGGAACTGGGGCATGCACCACCATGCCCGGCTCTTCTCATCTATAAAGGGCCTTGGAGGCACGGTTAGATTGCAGGGCTCTAAGTCGGGGCTAGGAGGCACGGTTAGATTGCAAGTCTCTAGGTCATGACGGACAGGTAGGCAAGAACAGGCACCAAGTTCTGGAGAATTCTGTATCCTGAGCTAACCAGTTTGAGTGCTTTTCTCTTGTGGGAGTCTGAAAGAATCTGGAAGGCAGGGGCATTGACCATGAGGGCTGACTGTGAGTGGCACTTGGGGCCTGTGGGTGCTCACCTTGGCACGTCCGCTCGTCTGTGAGCAGCTTGTGGCCCTTCTGGCAGCCGCATTCAAAGCTGCCCACGGTGTTTCGGCAGAAGTGGTCGCAGCCTCCGTTGTTCATCAAGCACTCGTTGATGTCTGAAGAAGTTGGGGAGGGGAGCAGGCTCAGGTGCCGTGGTGGAGATGGCCTGGGGAAGGGGTGGTGCCATCCTGCCTTCTTGGCCTTGACCCACCTGCTGCTCATTGCCTAGGGCTGGCCTCTGGCCCCCAGTTGGGTACAGGTGTGAAGAACCTGGGTAAATCACTAAACCCTGGTTCCCCAAGGTCCCTGGCTTCCCCTGTGATTGGTAACCCTGGCACCTCGTTTTAGGGTTCAGGGATCAACAGAGACAGTGACACTTCCCATGTCCCTTTACCCAAACATTCTGGAAGGAGTGGGGCTGAAGCAATGCTGCCTCAGGTGACATGGAGCAAGCTGCCCGCCCCCCATCCCAGGATGACGATAAAAGGGGTCCCACGATATAGGACAGACACCATGAGGATGACACAAAATCACATCTCCAAGGTGCTGGGGCTTAGTGGTTGTCAGTACGCTTGAGAAGCCACTGTCACTGCTTGCTGCCTACCAAGGAGTCTGTGTGGCAGAGGAAGTGCCTGGGTGGTGAGGCTTCCTCCGGTGAGTGAGGTCTGACCCTACCCCACTTCCCTGTCTGTTAGCTTGACCTGTTTTTTGTTTCAGCGGTTAGTGAGTAGTGACTGTACTAGACAGATCACTGAGCCCACTCATGCCACTTATGATGCCCCTCACCCCATGCCTCTCATGAGCAAGCTTGCCAGTTGGCCTCGGTTCATATTTTTCCAGCGATAGGGAACTTTCTCCTTCAGAGTGTGGGGCTTCTGGCTGACACTTCAAGAATGTCTGTCCACTTCTGGGAGCCCCTCCATTCATCTCCTGCTCACCTGAACCCTGGTGCTACCCAGAGTTGAACTCTTGACCCTCCCACAAAGAGTGTCTCAGGCCTTTGGAACTTCCCTATTGTCCCTTCCTCACCTGAGTCTGTCAGTGAAGGGGCTGCCACACGGTCGGAATGAGAAAGGGTTCAGGCTGGTGTAGCCAGCTCCATGGAGGTGGTGGGAAAGGTGGTCTCTCCAGTACAGGATCTAGGAGGAGGCTGTTGGCCTCACATGGCCCTCAACCTCCAATGAGTGCCCAGCGTGCAACTTCTTTTTCTCTCACCTCTCCCTTTCACCGTGTCCCCCTCCCTGCCATGGCAGCTAGTACCACCTTCCACGGGATGTCTGTCAAGTGTGCCGAGGCCTCGGGCTTCTCAGGATAAAGGCCTGGATTCCTACAGCTCTTCCCTCTGCAGCTGGAGCTGGCCTCAGCTGCCCACCTCTCCCTGCTGAGCCTCTGCAAGGCTCTGCCCACCACACTCCTAGAGAAGCTGGCCTGTCGTGGATCCTGTTCTTGGGGACATGAAAGAGCCTGAGGACAGCAGAGGTAAGCCCCCAGGGCCGGGCACTTCCTGAGAATGTTTACAAAGTGAAGAGATGAATGTGTGGTCGTGAATAGTCCAAGACAGTAGGGGGAGCTGAGGGCAGAGGCTCTAGGCCCAGGTTGATGTGTATAGGGGAGTCCTTGTGGGGGTAAGCTACAGGAATGAACACATCAAACCCCCCTCTTCTACTAGTCCATGGGCACCACCTGGCCACCCATGAGGCCTATGAGTGAGGGTTTTCAGGTGGGTGCAGAGGGAAGCCATGTGCTGGTCTGGGCTGGCTTGCAAGTCAGGTGAGGATACCTTCTTTCCCACTTTGATGAAAGTCCTGGCAGGTGGCCTTCTTGGCCCAGGGCATGGGGGAGGAGCAGAAAGAACAGGCAGTGGGTGGGGGCTCTCCCAGGCTGTTCTGGGAGATGGTGGAAGAGGGGTTTCAGTATCAGAAGCAATGATGCCATCTGATAGCAAATGCCAGGCTTAGGCAAATGCTTCACCCTCTCACCTGCTTCCACCTGCTCTGCTACCCCTAGCTGGCCCAGGGCTCTCTGCTCTGGGTTTCCCAACTGTCACCGCCCCCCTGTAGCCACCTGTCTTGCCTGATGATGACTTCTGGGATTTCAGAAAACACCGAACCTTTGAAGTTATCCCTTTGATATCGTCCCCGGGACCCTCGCCAAGATCAGAGTGTGCACCTGACTAGTGAACTAGAACCCCAGGGCAGGCCCTCAGGTTCACTAGGAATCCCCTCTTGGCTTGTGCTGTTCAGGTCCCTGAGTCCTGCTGGGAACTCCCTAGCCCACTGTCAAGAACTCCACAAACCCCGTCCCTGGGGTCTGTGGTTGACACCTGGCTTCTGGGACTTGCAGATGTCATGATGGCCACGTTAGACACTTATACACGAATCCCCCCCCCCCCCCTTCAAGGCTAGTAGCATCCCTAGGGGAAGCTCAACTCTGCTTCCCCCCTGCCGTGGCCACCTGGCCCAAGCAAAGTCACCAGAAGCCTTGATGATCCTCTAGATTCTACCCAGAGGCCAGGCAGTGCCATGGAACTATCTCAAAATGACAACCTGGACCTATGCCCACCCTACCTAACCTCGACTGGGGCCAGTCAGCCCCATATGCTGGTGAAGGCCACTGTTCCCTCCCCTCCCCTCCCTCCTGCAGCTCGTAAGGACTTCATTTATGGGCAAGATGCTGGTGCGTTTCTACAGTAGAGACCGACTGTACCCCTGTACCCCTCCTCCCAGCACCTGAGCCCAGCAGGAGCCAGAGCACCTCCGTGTGTGGTGTGTTACAGGAGTGTATTGGCCCACTCCAGAAGTCAGGAGGGAGCGAGGGCCCCAAGGAGTGACTCATGATTATGGAGGAGGTTTGGTCAAAGGGCTGGGATAAAGACAGGCCAGCCTGGTTAAAGGGCCCAAACATCTGAAAAGGAGCCATGGGAAGCCAAGAATTGGGAGCTCAAGTCCATGGGCCTAAGGCTATGTTGTCTTCTTCACAACTATCTCCTGCAAATGGAGTACACAGCACAACATGGTGTGGGCTACTAGCATGGGGTGGAGCAGCAGCCTCTCATCTCAGACCGCATGTGGCCCAGGCCCTTGCTGGCTAGATAAGTTGACTCCCAGAGGTGAGCAGCTGGTCTCTATTTCTCTGTTCTTGACCACCCTGGGCTCCTCACAGGAACGGACTCTACATAGCCCTCATGTCGAGGGTCAGCCTATGCATCAGAGGGTACAGCAAAGCCTGGATCGACCCTCTGCTAGCCTGGGGTACATAATCATATGGCTGGCTTATTGGGGCATCAGTGGGTTCTGAGGGAAACAGTGGAAGCTTCACCCGCCTTCTCTCTTGCGTAGCTGTAGCTGCAAGGCAGGCTTACCTTTCACCTCAGCCATCTTCAATCTCACCTCCAGACTCCTCAATTTCTATGCCAAGTAAAGTCCCTTTGCTTTTGGTTGAGGTCCCCTTATACATTTGTGGTAATGACACACCAAGATGCATGCCCTGTACCAAGATGTCCCTACCAGCTGGACACTAAAGGCCATACAACTGAAGGCCAAGGGTCCGGCCATACACCATACCCCCATTCCTACAGCTGAAGGTCCAGAATGTTCTTCTGTGGTTTCTGTCACAGGCAAATTCTATGGTATCAGGACCTTCCTGACCCAGGACACTACAGGTGTGCCACAGTACACAAGAGTCCCTGCTGGGGACTCTTCTTACCATCTCTGACAACGACCCCTGTGGCTGCCAACTGCCCTCATTCATCTGCCCTCCTGCCTGGTTAACAGGGCCCAGATGTAGGACCATATGGACATTCTGGGGCCGGGCAGGGCAGTACCAACACAGCCCACGTGCTGACCTTTGCATGTCTTCCCATCCGGCTGCAGAGTGAATCCGACTGGGCAGCTGCACCGCACACCGGTGGCAGTGTCCTTGCAGGTCCGGTCACAGCCTCCGTTGTTCACTGCACATGTCTCTGGGGAGGGGAGGGGAGAGACAAGAGTTGCTCAGTTTCCCCCGAAACCAGCTACCATCTTTTCCCATCAGTGAGAGCAGGGATCTAGGTTCAAGTTTCATCTGTTGGGACACTTCCTGAGCCAGTATTGTTCCCATAGAAATGTCTGCAAACAACTTAGGGCTGTTCTTGGGTAAAGATTGCTCACAGTGGGGGGCTCGCTCTTAGGAACGGTGCTGAGACCAGCCTAGCCACTACTGTGTGGTGTTCTAAATCTTTGCCCTGCTTGGGTTCAGATGCCCAGTCCTTTTGGTGGCTGTCAGAAGGCATGAGGGCTCCTGAGCCCAGCCTGGTGTGAAATGGCTTTCCGGCCTGGCCATAGGGCTGCACGCCATCCATCAAGCCGGAGACCTTCCCAGCCTCACATCTGTTCTCGCTGAACCATTTGCCAAAGCGTCTGGTTTTCGTCCGCTTGAAGCCTGCCTAGTGCTTTTTTCCCTCCTTCTGCAAAATTCAAAGGGGCCAGAGTGGCTGGGGGCATAATGGAGGTCACCGGAGCTGCTGTGGGGTGAGAGTGAGCATCTGCAGGCCCGCAGGAGACGGGCAGAGCTGGCTCTCCAGGACGTGGTGGCTCGCCCACCATTCTCCCAGACCTCACCTGGTTTTCTTCATGAGCACCTGGAAGGCTTGCTTTGCGGGAAACAGCGCCCGTGGGAGTGGGCTTCTCTGACCTTTACTGTGGGGCGGCAGAGCACCACTGAGCGCCCATCTCCAAGACCCGCATTACCCTCATGCCTCTACCTCGCTCCGCCTGGTGCCTGGCTACAGCTGCTTCCTCGGAAGGTTCTCACTCAATTCTGAAAATGGCCTGGGTCTTCTCTGTAAAGACTTTGGGAGGGAGCCTGAGTGAAGGGATGAAGGGAGACTCTCGGGTACCACGCGGCTAACTCCATCAGATCCATGGTGTCTTGCCTTTGAACTTGGCCCCAGAGAGGGTAGGGGTGCCGGGAGGGGACAGAAGCCTAATATCCTTGTGTGCATGCAAGCACAACTGCGTTGTGTCTGCTAGGTTGCAGTGGTGCGCGTCACTATCTGCAGAGGCCAGGCAGTCCCCAAGGACTGCTCCTTCTTTCTCAAGACCAGCATTACTACTAGCCACGGCCATCCTGGAGGAGCCGTGGTTGCCACTAAAAGCAGACGTCCTTCCCACCCAACACTCTTCTTGGCTGGCCTCTCTGAGATTCAGGCTAGCACCTCCAGCCAGGAATGGGAAGTTTCTGTGAGTGGGTTTCTCTGTGGTGTTCACCACTTATTTCCTTATCCTTCATGGTCCTAGCCCTCTCTCCAACGCACGCCTCTGAATTCCAGGCACAGAGAAGACCAATCTTCCTCACACTTAGGCAGGTGGGCCCCTATGCCAGCACGGACCGGTTCTAACTGGTTTGTAGCCTCTGTGTACCCTCTCATCTCCACACAGATGCATTCACTGGGGCAGGATGGTGAGGTAGAAGGCAGTCCCACACCTGGGGAGTGAGGAGACGAGCTCCCCCCGCCCAGGGCTAAGGTGGAGATCAAATGAGCTCTCCACTTAAAAGTCATGAGGCCCAGGTGTGGACCTGGGAGGGGGGTGCTCACTTAATGTTTCCTTTTCTGGGGTTAAACCAGAGGGGGAATCCTGCCACCCACCCCAGCTGAGAGCCTGCCAGCCTTTCATGTGGGACAGCCCTCTGGAGAGGGGCAGAAAGGCTACCTGTCTCTGAAGTGTGGGTAATTACAGCTCAGTGACTGGGGATTGTGGGGGAGGGGGACAAGTGATACCAGCTGGGGCTGGGTGGGCCCTGGACCTCTCTGATGGTAGGGGTGGGGTTTAGGCATTAGGAACTGTGTTCTTAGGAACCAAGCCTAACAGTTTGTGATTCCTCCTTTCCTTATGACGGGACTTAGAATTTTACTAAGGAGGCCTTGGGGACCTGCTGGCCCCATCTGCTCATTGGGTAGACTGAGGCTAAGATGGGGAGCTGGATTCTGGCATAGTGGTCGCCCATTCTTGCACCCACATTGCAAGTCATTCTCTCCCATGCCAGGCTAAAAGTCCTCCTTGCTTTGTCCCAGCCAATGGCTGATGCACCAGCTTCAGGCTCTGAGTCCCCAGTGACCAGGAAGGTCTCTGTGTCTGTTCTTGGGGGTCAGCCCCCGAGTCCACAGAACCTCATTACAATGATCACCAGAGACCAGCCCCCCCCCCACCCCATGTCTCACATCTCTGCCTTCTCAGTTGCTAAACCTTACATCCTGAGGTTCAGAGCCTAGGCCCAGATGCAGACCTAGTGGCAGCGGTGACTGGAATCTGCTTGGCTGGACTAAACTGAACACACAGCTCCCTGGGCACACGGTTCTACCTAATGCCCTTTAACCTGCCTCTGCCAGACCAGCTCCAGGGGCTTGTGCAGTCACGCGTGTGGCTAGAAACTACTCCCAACTGTCTGTGTTTTCCCCTAGCCAGGGAGCTCCCTACTCCAGGAATGCTTTTCTGTTCCGTCCATTGAGTCTGAGCCTCTCCCCCACCTCCCTTGGGACCTGGTCAAACTGCTTCTTCATAGTTCACAACTGCTGGTTCTATTTTTTACTGTGGCCATGCTGTCACTGTCCTATGACGTCACAGTCCACCTTGCTCTAAGTAGCTCTTAGGAGACCATTCCCTGAGAAGTTTGGTGACCAGCCTGGCCTCCATGGGTCCTCTACCCTCCTGTTGGACAAAGAAATCACTTCTGCCATCTCCACCTCAGCCATATTGTTCTGGGTGAGGGGTATTACAAAATGTAACACGTGCAGAACCCAGAAGATCCCCGGTGGGGCACTGGCTGGCAGGGTGAGACTGAGCATCTTGTCTCTAGAAACTTCCAACCAGAAGCCCCTGGGCACTGCTGACGGCTTCATCAGCAGTGGAGGACTGCACAGCTCTCATCTCCGGGGACCCTACCTCTGCCCCCCGAGAATGGAGGCCGCCTAGATCTGATGGTTGGCCACTACTGTCTCAGAGAAACTTGGAAAGCATTCCTTTCTACAGTGGGTGGGAGATGGGGTTTGGAGCCTGTAGCAGGCTATTCCAGGGGTTGGGTTCCTCCTGTTTCTCACCACCCTAGTGGCCTTCTCGGGTTCCCATCCCAGTCCCTGAGCTGGGGATGGTGTACAAGGCAGCCTGGGAAGGCCTGGGTCTGTCCACCAGAACTGTGAGGCTGATGCTGGAGTTTAAGGGAAAGAGGGCTTCTCTCAAGGGTCAGGGCCAAGTCCATTTGTGATCCTGTGAGTTCCATCTCTCTCTGTGCCCTGGCTCCAGCTGAGAACTACAGGGCTCTCCCATCTCTCCTGTAAAAGAACCACCTTCCAGAGGCCCCCTCTCTCATCCACTACCCTCAGAAGAGCGCACAACAGTTCAAAACAAACAAACAAACAAACAAACAAACAAACAAACAAAAACAAACCCGTCCCTTCTGCAGACAGAACTAAGGCTCCGAGAAGGAGTTTGTTCGGGTGGGAACGGCTGCCTCACTTGTGGCTCAGTGAGAAATAATAAGGGGTCCTGTGTTAAAAAATGATTTAGGATTTCCAGATCATATAACCACCAAAGGAGCTGGCATGCTCACACAGCATGAGACATCAGGCCAAGTGAACATGACTAGTCCAGGAGTGGGGCTTTGATGATGGGTTCCCAGGGTGTCTCAGTGAGGAAGCAGGGTGATGGCCCGAGGCAGGTGGAAGTCTGTGCCCATGGTGCCATGATTCTGATAGGAGGAGGCACAGGCAGAAGACCTGCTGTCTGGGAACATCTCCTGTGCAGGCTCTGCAGGCTGACACCACCATTGGTCAGCATGTTCCCTGAAGAACAGTCTTACCCAAGTGAGGATCAGCTTGAGCTGGGCAGTCAGACTGGTTCCATGTGCCCATGGACCGTGTAAGCGTGGGGAGCCCCTTTGCACACAGAGACTGGGTCCTTATTTGCTCAGAGACGGACTCTTTACCATGTGGTGTTTGAATGGCCCAGAAACAAGGGCCAGAGGCACCAGTGCTTGATAGGCCGGTCTATAATTGTGATCGCTTCACTCTTGGTGCCAAGTTTCAGACCCTCGGCACGTGGAGTCTGGGGTCCCCTGTCCATGGCTGAATCATGTAATAATCTTTTCCTGAGAGGTCGGAGGGGTAGCTCAGACATTAAGAGCACTGGCTGCTCTTCCAGAGAACCTGGGTTCAATTCCCAGCACCTAGATGGCAGCTCACAACTGTCTGTGACTCTGGTTCCAGGGGATCCGGCACCCTGACACAGACATACATGTAAGCAAAACACCAATGCACATAAAATAGAAATAAATAATAAAAATAACCCTTTCTGAGTGACTCTAAGCTGGGCAGATGTGCTTGGAACCCAACCCTGGTCTCATAGACACCCCAATCTGGTGGGTAGTGTAGAGGCCAAAAAGACAGTTCTTTGGCTATGAGGGAGGAGCCACAGAGACAACTGACCTACACAGGAGTCAGCTGCTTCCAAGGGGAGATGGCACAGGGCTAAGACCTTGATTTTCTCTGGGTAGCCCCTTTGGCCAAGCCAGTGAAGTCACTGGGACTCAGAAGCCCACAGTCCCATATTTTCAGAAGCCGACCATCAAGATGACAGTATGCTTGGCTGTTCCCTCATCCACCATACGGCTCCAGGAAGAGCCATACCTGGGTAGCCCTTTTGCTCAGTGATCAGCACAGGCCCAGCATGGTGGGGTTGGCTCCTGGTTAATGATGGGATTAGCAAGCAGGAACTTGGAGGAGTAACACAGAGCATGGGAAATGAATCCTACCTACCCTGTGTCAGTCCTGGCAAAGGGGAGCAGGGATGAAGCTGGGGTAATGGGAGTGACCCAGGGTTTGGGCCCAAAGATGAGGCAGCTGGGCAGAGCACTGTGACAGCTTAACAAAAGAGCTGGGTACAGCCCACTGGCCGGTATGCCAGACTCTGCTCCTGCAAACTGGGGGCT